GCTCCGGCACGGCGCTCGCCGCGGTTTACGGGGCAGCGAGAGCGGCGCCGGGGCCCGGTGTCTGGGAAGGGAGAAGCCGCCCGGCCGCAGAGCGGAGCCGAGTAACCGCCGCGGCCCTGGGCAGGCGCCTGGCTTTGCAGTGGCCCAGGACAAGCAGGAGCCCCAGAGGGACACCAAGGAGGCCACTCGTGTGGCCGCGTCCCCCGGGTCCCCTTGTCCTTCCGCGCGCCCGTGTCTCGGGTTGGGCAGCCTGGCCGCTTACCTGTGTCCTACGCCCAGCAAGAGCTCCATGGGAGTCTCCACGACTGCGGGCTGTTTCCATGCTCCGTAGACCACAGACACTGAGCAGGAACCTTCGTTTCACTCAGCATGGTTTATCAGTGAGGTTGTGTCCTGGGGATACAGCTTGGCTGGTGGGAGAGGAGCAGAGCGGGAAGGGGGAAACGCGGATTTCGCGGTAAGCCCCAGGTGGGAGAACGGCCTGGCACGTGGAGTCTGCTCCGTGCGGGCCTTGCTGCCCTCTCCCTTGTGAATCCCAGGCTCGCAGAATAGCCAGGAAGGAAGGGCCCTTGGGATCCCCAACTCCTGCTCATCTGTGAGGTCAGACCAGGCTGCCTAGGGCTGGACCCAGTCGGCTCCAGAGAACATCCCAGGTTGGAGGCATCACCTGCATCACCTCAACAACCACCTTGTGCCAGTTCTCGGGTATCCACATGGAGAAGCCTGTTACATCCAGTCTGAGCCTCTTGTGTGTTAATGTGGCCCTGTCATCTCTCATCCTCCCACCATGTGCTGCTGTGAAGAGCCTGACTCCATCTCCTGGCTGACCTTGGGTGATCTCCACCATGCTGTAGGCACTGACAGGCTGTTCCCAACCCAAAGCTGCCTGTGCTCCCAGCAGGACAAATCCAGCTCCCCCAGCCTCTATTCACAAGGCAAATGCTCCAGCCCTGACCATCTCCATGATCCTCCAGTTTGTTGATGCCTTTCTTGTACCAAGGAGGGGCAAAACTGGGTGCAGGATCTAGCTGAGGTCTGACAGGTCCCATTCCTGGGTCACCTGTCCCTGTTCCTGCTCATACAACCCAAGGTGGTGCCGGCACCTCTACCTCTGCGTGCCCATGGTCGGCTTGCTGTGCAGAGGCCCCAGAGCTGCTCCCCAGGCAGACCCCACCTTGTACCCAGGGCGCCTCCTTCCCAAGCCTTTCATGACATTTTTCACCCTCCTTAATGAAATTGTTCTATTAACTAAAGAGGGAAATTAATGCAAAGAGCAGAGAAGCTCTGCTGAATGCCTGGAGGCCTCTTTTCCTCTATATCTCATTGCCCCTGTGTATTTCTCCGCTCTGCTTTTGACTCACACCCCTCTGAAAGTCAGTGATAGCATAAGAGATGCTGGGGATTTTGGACATGAAAAGAGTGTTTGGATCAGAAGAGCTTGCAGACCTCAAAGCTGCAAGGAGAATCCCATTCAGCTTCACAGGCCAGATGGAGCTTTGGGAAAGTGCAGGTTCCAACATCCAGAACTCCTAGAAGAAGGTTAACCATTGTTTTATGTGTTCTGAACAGAAAACATTTCTTTCTTTAACCAGTCTTTGAAACAGATAAAAGTTTTTCATCTGCAGTTACTGATTAAAAGCCCATCTTGACTTGGTGAAACATTCTAGTTGAATTGGTTAAGCTTCAGGCAAAATCCTCAGAAAGCAAAACCATTTTCTTGTAATAAGAGATGCCTGGTGACTTTCAGAGTGTTTGTTATTACCAACTCTCCCTACAATCTAGTAATACTTCTACACAAATGAGTAGCTTTTCAATGAAGTGGACAGTAGATCTGTTTCAGCCCACTTTCAGTCTTTTTTAGATTTTATTCTCATTAACGCTGATGTGCGGTCTGATTTTTCTGTACCTTGAATAGTCCTCCTGAAACTAATAGGACTCTTTGATTCTACTGAGCTGTACTAATTTTCTTGCCTTTGTGATTGAAGTCTGACCAACAATGAGTTGTTAACCTACGACTATAGTGCTGTGACGTATTTATTTTATATATATATATGTATATAAAAACAACAGCTACAGAAAAATGAGCACAAGTTCACTCATCCCAAATTCAGTTGCTCAGAACTGTGAAGCCTTGCTGAGTTGTCTTTGACTGTCTTTGTTTTATGCAGACTAGCATAAATCACGTGTCTCTAGCAGTACATTCTTGAGTTGCTTTGCACTCCAGCTGACAAGTTAAAACAGTTTCATACTTCAAAAGACACTTAATATGTAATTCTGCAAGAAAATATGCTTGGTAGAGTTTACTCATATGTAAAGACTGCTCACATGAGTAAGTGCCTTAAAGAACATGCATTAGTATGTTTGTCTTTTAATAATGAACATGGGATATGGTGACAGTAGCATTTGACAAGAAAAGTTGCTTTGCTATTCTCATAGACCGTTGTAGTTTGGAGTAACATATGGGAATAAATGTGTTTTCTACCTTCTGCCCCAACTATAAAAGTATTTGGAGCAGAAGTATTTGGAGTTTTGATACTTGCAGTATAGCTCTTTGCACATGTTACCACATGCCCAGCTCCCTATGGAAGTACCGAGTTAGGAGCAGTCAAGTGCCCTCATTGGGTCAAGGTCAATGACTGGGATCTTCAGGACCTTTCCCTCGGATTCTGGTCTTGTGGAAGGCAGATGACCATGAGCCAACAACTGAACAAGGAGCCGTGCCGCTGTAACTGGCCATTGCAAGAACACTTGTGTATTCACAGTCAAACCAGAAGCAACTCGTGAGACTGAGAGAGAAGCAATGTAAGCCACTGATTCTGATGCTGCCTTTGATGAGGTACAGAAGGACTGTGTCAAGGACAGGAAGCTTTATTTAGTGTTATGGATTTATTTTATAGCTTCAAAGAGGCCCGAGGATCGTGCGTGAGCGATGAACCTCTTTCAGCTGTGCTACATAATCCAACCTCTTTGGAGCACCCCTCACAGATCACTCTTGAAATGAATATACAGCTGGAGTTGTTTCCTTTACTTTGCATACAGATACTCTGGCCTTTAGAATTCAAAGCAACAGCCAGCAAAATTATGCAAAAATTTCCCTTTTCTGAAAAGAAGAAAAGCAGATATAGCTGTGCATGATTTTAACAGAGCATACGACCCTGGGAAATAGGTTATATCAAGAGATTTACCTCCCATTAAAGACAAGGAGGCATTTGTTTGTGAAATCTATCTGATATATTCCCTAGGTTCTTAGTGTTCCTCCAAGTATCTGAAAAATTTATTGCTGTCCAGTACGACCAATAGCCCAATATAAAGTCAAAGGTCTTTCTGTTACATCAGCTGGGAGAAAATTTGCACTGCCTGTGAAAATGGAGGGGATTATACTGCAAGGAAACTGCTGTAGGAGATGCCAGTGCTATTTCACCCTTAGTGTAGGACGAAAGTAAGAGAGAAGACAGTGGCAGATGCTCCCTGCCAGCAGGACCGTAGTAACGTGTGATGTTGCCACTTTCTTTTTGCTTGTTACCACCTCTCTGCTGGTGGTTGTCATCCACAGAGGTCTGCAGACATAAGGAGCCCTCCGCTTCATGCTTTCACTGAAGCATATGAAAATAATCAGGTTGCTTGTCCTTAGGTTTGCAGAGATAGCTCTGAGAATGTAAAGTGTGTAAATCAGTGCAGCAGGGTCTGCTGGAGCACCAGCTCTGTGAGCTATGGACTTCCCCGCTTGTCTCAAATAAGGGCCTGTCAATACCTGCTCTGATTTAAGGTCCTGTTGAAGGAAATTCTTTCCCCGTGGCTAAGAGTAATGCAGGAAGGAGCTGGGCCCATATGCTGGTGGCTGTGGAGGGCTTCCTAGCCCCACCTGGCTACCACATGTGTGGGGCTTGCTGATGGAGTTGCTTGGGGATGAGTCATTGACGTTCTGGTTTGGAAAGGAAGGTTTCTGCCCGTTCTGCTGTTAGTGAAAGGTGAGTAGCTGCCGTTTGGTTCAGGGGCTTTGGGAGCAGTTCTTGTGTTTCGTTTCTTGTATGTGTGAAGCAGGATTTCCCCAGAGCTGTTACCATCAAAGACCAATCTATGGCTGGCTGAGGGTTGATAATGAACTTTTTTAGAAACTTAACACTAGGCCTAGAACCAATTAGCAGCTTCAGCCAAGCTCATTATCATTAATTTTAATATGGGTAGAATAATTTATAATGTTTACTTGCAACTAAGTAAAGTAAGTCCAGCCTGAGGTACTTTTTTTCATATACTGGTATATTGGGAAGGTAAAAAAAATGTTTTATGGTCATGTAAATTTGCAAAATGAAGAGAATCTATTATGGCGTCTGCAGATTTCGGGCAGAAAATCATAAAAAATAACAATTCAAATAGACTTTAAAGTTTTAATTTTTGCAACACAGTCGTGAAAAGAAACTATTACCTCAGAAGAGCTCAGAAATTGTGTTTATGGGTAGTCTTTGGTATTCATGTGGCAGCTCCTGCATTGAGCAGAAAACATTTTCGCTCATCTTGGAGCGTGAGACTTTCAGTCTTGGAAAATTTCCTCTGTCTGGCACACACACATGTCTGTGTTCAAGCTCTGTCCATGCAACAGAAGTGTATATTTAGAAGAAGAAAATATATTTTCCATTTGAGAATATAAAATAGAGCTGACACTCCCCTGTATCCTGTATTGTAATCAATATTACACCACTGCTTAGAGGCCTAGAGGTGCCATGGTTCTAGTTGCTCTACCAGGTTAGAGGTAGGTGATTTCTGTATTGAAGAGCCAGCGATTGGCTATTTAAATGTGTTTAAACCAGGACTACTCTTAAAAAAAAAAAAACCCTAATGCCTGGTAGGTGATTTTACTAAGTTCTGGGACCTGCTGAGAGACTGAGAGAAGAGTGAGAAAGTCTAAGGATGAGAAATTGCTGCGGAGACCTGAGGAGGAGATGACGGCGGGGAGAAGCAGAGCTGGGACCGGAGCACAAGTCTCTTGGGTCCTCCCAAAGAACTGCTTTTTCTGCACAGAGCTGGTAAGATTATGTTGACTAATAGTGTATTTGCTAATCAATACGAAGTTTTTTATGTAGTTCCTTAGCTGGTTTCTTAACTACAGGCTATTTACCACAGGAAAACACAATTACACAATTAACATGTAGAAAGGTCATAGCACAACCTCTTGGATGGCTCAGCACAGTCAGTAAGGTCATGGCTTCTCTTTTGTGAGTCTTTGCCAGATCCCCTGCTTTACTGCTGCTTTTCTTTCTTTTTTTTCTAAATCCTGAGGGTATCAGGTGGTGTAAAAAGAGACCTGATCCATACCTAAAATAGCTCACGTTATCAGAAAGCTTAACTGAGGAAAAAAATAGCAAGCACGCATTAAAAATGTGCAGAAACCTTCCAGAGGTCACTCTCACAAGGTGCCAGCTGCAAGGTGTAACCGCAGAGGAGGACATGAGCAGAGTGGTCTTGTCACTTGTCCCCAAGAAGGCTGTGACAGCAGCGCTGGGGCAAGGAGCATGGAGAGGGGAGTGACAGGAGGGTCATGATGGGGTTGATTTGTAGAGCAGCGTGGGGTAACCCAAGGATGTGAGAACAGGCTCTGCTGCAATAATTATCCAGTCTTTGGTTTTAACCTAGAAGTGCCTAATTGTTTTCTAGTCCTGGTAACCGTCCGTGAGCTAACTGAAGAAAAATTCATTGAAAGCCAATGTGCAAAATCAGTGGAACTTCACATGTATCTGCTCTTCCTTTTCCTCTCATCCGTAGTTTCTGCTGCCAGTTTCCTCGCTCAGTAATTTTCCAGTGTTTTGCAGGTAGCTCTTTTCCTTGCTTCCCTCTTGTCTTTCCTGCTTCAGGAATTCATCTCCACTGCTTTCTGAGCGCCCGTGTATTTGATAAAGAGCAAACGTTAGCAGTTCCCTAGTTTATAACTCCTCCAAAGTGCTGTTTTGATTACTTTTTTTTTTTTTTTTTTCAGCCAAGCAGAAATATACCTCCTATATAGAACTAACCTTTCCGTAGTCATTCAGGCCTCCTCTAGAAGTATTGCTGTGTGATGGCCCAAAAGTTCAATTCTGGTCTAGGTGAGGTGTGGATGGGTGATTGTGTTTCTAGTGAATTAGCTGGATAGAGAGTTCATGGTAGTTTGCTGCCTTTTCTGGTAAGATAGGCAACACATGCCTGGAAAAAAACAAGGTTTGCATCTAGAGTGATTTACGGTGTTGGGAAGAGAATATTTGCCAGGGCAAAGTGCTACATGGAAAATCTTTTTTATGGGCAAAAAGCAGCATTTTTTTATATATACATACATACATGTACACGCTTGCATATATGAGTGGTGTATATACACACATATATACATGTGTATGTGTGCACATATATTTAGCCAAGAATTTGTTAGTATAATTGAAGTGTTAAAAGTCAAATTGTTTTTAGCCCAAAGCTAATTGCTACAGAAAAAGAAAGAGTAATAATACAGTTAAATTATTGTGCCTATGCAGCTTAGTTCCTGTCCCATCCTGGGGTTTGGCACACACGTCTGCTCCTCCTCTGGGTCTCGAGGTCAGTGCCTTCACTCTCATGGTGACAGCACAGAGTGTAACAGGCACTTGTCAGAATCTAGACACCTTTTCTGGGAGGAATATGATGTTCGGCCTGATGGTTTCTTCCTCCACACTCTAGCTGCTTGGGTCCTTTCATGTTACATTTAATTTTACTATATATCATTCCTTTCATGGAATTAAATTCTAATTCTTTGTTCTCTCTGCTACCGCAGCACCAGTTTGGGGCAGCCCCAGGTCTGCATTTCTTTAAGTGGCCCCGGGGAGGTGTTCAGAGCTGTGGGGTCCCCGGGCCAGCCGAGCTCTGTGGTGCCCCAGCCCGACTCACCGCTTGCCAAGGTCTCTGCCACCACCAGGCCTGTGTCTCCACCCGGCATCACTGCCCTGGAGTCGCAAATACCTCATTCTACACAGAATAACTGCTTGGTACAGCCACCTAAAGAAAGCTGTGGTTTTACTGTACAAAGCTAACAAAAGTAAAATAAATCAGTCCTAGACACCTGGTCAGTTGGAGAGGCTGCTGCCACAGTGAAAGCAAGTAAACCAAAACTTGAAGGACTGAGCAAAGTTGAGGCTTGAGGCTGGCCAAACCTCACTTCTGCAGCCGTGCAAATTCAGTACAAAGCTCCTGGCCTGTTACTAGCAAGGGCAGGACTGTGACAGGGTCCTCCAGGGCTCCACGGCACAGAAGTGAACTTAGCAACGTGTTTTTGAACCATTACTGGTGCAGTGAGTAGGCATCTGATTAGGGCTTGTTGTTTTGTGACAAAAGTGCCTGGTTTTCTGGCATGAAGAGTCCTGATATCTGAATTATTGTATTTCTGAACCACAGCCTCATTTCATTTCTCCTGCCTTTAGTGAGAATAAAGGGTTCTTACTATTTTTACTGCTGTGTTATGAAATCTCACTGTTGATTTCATTTAATATCCTTACTGTAAGATCTCCTGCAATATCTTTTGGGAGGGAGAGATTGCAGGCACAGGCCATAGAAGTGACGTCTTCAGCCTTATCAGCTAACTGCTTGTGAATGCGTTGGAGCCTGTGAATGAATCAATTACAGCTGGAAAATTATAGGACCCGAGGAGGGCAGGTAGTGGGTGGTGATCAAAACTCACAGTACCAGAGATGAGTGGCTTCCCAAATGCATCCTGACCATAGCCCCATCTTCTGCGTCCTCCTTACCTAGAGATGAGATCCCTCTCCTCTCACTGGAGATGTCTCTGCTGGTCTCTCTGGGTTTCTTGGAGACAGTGGGGAGGAGAGAGTCATTCCCGTTTCTCCCCAGTGACTGTAAGAGGAGCCTGCAGTGAGTAATTCCGATGGGAGCACCTCTGCAGAGCTCCCTCCTCATCTGTGCATCAAGGACAAGAAGAGCATTGAAGTTGGTTTGCTCTCTATTCCAGGAAAAAAGAAAGGAACTATTTCTCAGCTCATTTAGTTTCTCTCTTTTGTATGTCAGCTAAATCTGTGGGCAACTGGGAGCACTATTTCTGTATGTATCGGGTATGTAAGTATCTGTTCTGTACAGATGTATCTGTATGTACAGATATGTTTGTATCTGAGTTTGTTCCCTTGTAGTTTGTATAACATTCAGAGAACTTGAGCCATATTTGGTGGATGGTGACAGACGAGTAAAAGTAATAAGCTGCAGAAATCTCTGCATTTACAATAAAGATGGATGGACGGACAGACAGACAGACTCTGCTGACTGGGTTTCCACCAGGCAGGTGGTAGAACAGCCACTGACAGCATCACGATCTGGGCTGGACCCATCCAGGCTTCACTGCCCCTGCTGTGTGTTAAGTCACTTGCTTTTTCAGGCTCGTTCATTATGTTTGAGGCAGGCAAGAGCATCGGGAATCGCAGCATGGTTAAGGTTGGCAGGGACCCCTACAGATCATCTAGTCCAGTGCCCATGCTCAGGCAGGGACACCTGGAGCACTCTGCACCCGGTCACATCCAGGTGGGTTTTGGAGATGAGGTGGCTGTGGCTGCTGTGTGATGATAGAAGATTAGCCATCATTCCACATGGCTGGGGACTGATGTGTAGTAGTCTTCAGATAAGCTTGTTTTGGGATGTCTCTCTTTGATACATGGCAGTAGAATCTGAAATAACTTTGTTTTCAACCTGTACCCCATGAGTGGTCCAAAGCAGGAATGTTGGAGGGCAGAGCCTTCTGGCAAGTGGAGGCCCTGATCCAAATCAACAGCAACTGAGTGCTTGGGAATCTGGGCCTTGTATTTAACCCAGGAATGAGAGCGAGCTCTGTGGAAACGTGGTCCCAGCTGCAGCTCCTGAACCTGGGAACTGTCACAGATGGTCTCCGATCTTCAGAGGCGCTGGTCTCTCCTTGGAGGCCGGTGTGAGGTACCAGCACTCAGCGATTCTGAAAGCATCCCCATCCTCAGTTCAGTCCAATCCTTAGCTTGCATTTCAGGAAACAACACCCCACCCCCCAAATTATTGAGCACTTAAGCTATTTTAGCCTTAAGACTCCGCTGGGGACCAACTCTGTGCAGGGCAGAGCTGGCACCAGGTTTAGTTGTTTCAAATCCTTTTCTGAGTGGAATCTGGCAGCACATGGTGCTGCAAAGCGTGTGTGAGATAATACTGAGCTCGTAGGCCACGTCAGCTTAGCCAGGTGGTACGTGATTCTCCAAATGCATATAGTATTTATATACCTTTTTCTTCCTTCTTTTAATTAATCCCAGTATGGAACAATTGTCACTGGTGAGTAAATCTCGTTTTTTTTTTACTGTTGTAGGTGCTTGCTTAGGGGGTTGTAGTCTGTTGCAGGTGTTTTATTGGGACCAGGTGATTGTGTGGTGTGCGTTCGAAAGGAAGAAGGCGCTTGACAGTGCATGTTATTACCTTAACAAGAAGTTTTTTAGAGAGGGAGAGAAGTAAAAATCAAAATATAGGCAGCACATAAACTGTTGGTTGTATCCACAGATCTGGTAAAACTGTACATAACTGAGTGTTAGTGTGTAACTAGATATTATGAATTTCTGCCAGGATACAAATAATAAAAAGAGGTTACTATATGTATAACTACAAAAGCTTCCAAAACAAACCAAGGACTGGAGAGCACATAGTAGTTTCTGTCTTTCTGCTTCTCACGTTGGCTCTGTATTGCAGCTTAGCATGGCAATGTCTGAATTCACATTAAAAGCCAGATAATTTTTTTACTTGCAGTTTCTACTCAGAATTAACATATTTTAAGGCGTATTGGGCAATTTTGGACTGTCTTTGGGGTTTCTGTGATGCCTTTTTTTCCTGTATGTCTCAAGAAGAGAGGCGTGCAGCCACATCCAGGTAACTGCCCGCCCCCTCAGCCGCAAGCAGCGGGCAGAGGGTGCCGGGCCGGCAGCTCCGGCTCCGGGCGGGACGTGGCCCTGGCCCCGGCCGTCGCTGCCACCGGCGGCCGCTCTGAGCCAAGCGGCTCCCGCTGGCGGCCTTTCTGCAAGGC